TTTATCATCACTTTTAAGACTTACGAATACTGTACTCATCCACAGTAATACATCACTTTTAAAATCCAATTTATGCACACAGAATTGGGAAAAACTGCTTTCACCTTTTATGCTCCCTACAGGTGGAATAAGCTTCAGGACACCCTAAAGTCAGACAAATTTGTATCCTTAGAACAGTTTAAGCATCTTCTGAATTATGTTATATATGAAGAATGCTCCTGTTTCTCTTAATGTGTCTTGTAAGTCATTTTTCTGAATGTTGATTTACACTTTTTATTGTATAATTTAATTAATAATTTATTCTTTTTTTCCCCTTAAAGCAATAAGAAAAGTCACAAAAAAAGACATTAAATGGCCATTTAAATCCCCAATCTTTTTATTCATATATAATTCACTGCAATAATTCAGAAGACATAACTCACCGCAGCAAGTCAGGACTCACAATTTAGAGGCACATCAGAAAAGCTTTACTGTGAGCATTCATTTCGTGCCTGGTTCCTCACACAATGCTACATTAGGCCTCTAATGTGAAAAGGCTCCCAAAGGCTTCATTAAAATGAAAATGGCCTGAGAGGGTGTGTCTAAGTGTGTGCCCATACAGCTGTGCTCGTGTGCACATCTGAGTGTGAAGGTAAGTGGTGTGTGTGGGTATGTTTCTGCATGTGTATATTCATATGTGTGAATGCTTCTGTCCTGGGTATGAAAAATATCCCCTGATGCAATGGATGGAGCAGTCACTTTTTGGTAGTTTGTCAACCTTCCCAAGGCTCCATTAGATTAAGACACAAATCTCTTGCTATCTCTGGAAAGTAAATGACTAAATGAAAAGAAAAGAAAAAGAAAAAAAAACGCAAAGAAAATGTAAAAAATAATTACATATTTTGTCCAGTCCCATGTCACAGTCACACTATTCACTTGCTTTACATTTCTTCATAGCGGGATGAAAAACAAGTAACGAGAACCAAGTACAGATGAGCATTTTTGTTTTTTCTGACTATTTAGAAAATCCTATTTTGGAATTAAGCTTTTGAGTGAATAAATCTGAGCAACATTTTGCCGAATCCCTCTTTGCTTGCAACACTACAGTATCACTGTGGAGCTAACTGTGGAGAGAGCGTGAACAGCGTATCTGATGTATCTCTTGTCAAACTGAAATGAGCTCTGAGGAGGATGTTTAATGGACAACTGCAATTTCATTCATCTCAGCCTGACTGATTGCTACGTACAAGGAGGCTACTTTCACACCTCATTTACGGAGTCTGCTACCATGCTAGATTCAATCACACACTAAGGCTCACACTAGCATATGTACAGGTATCTGCATGCGCACACCCCCCCCATACATGATCAGACCCGACTGCTGCACTTCTGACACGCTAAGCAATTTGACGGGCGACTGGACGGATGGACAGACTGAAAATGAGTCTAAAAATATAGTCAAGTATGTAGCATAGTAGAAATATATGTCTTGAACAGAAAAATGTGAAAAACAAAGGGATAGCAATGTTCCACTGACGGCACGACGCAATCAACTAAAATGTCAGAGACAAGTGGCCCATGAGAGGCGATTGGGCCTTTAACTGCTCCAATCAGCAAATGGTGCTATGACGCTGTCTACATCTGTCAGGAAGAAATAGGCTTCACGTAGGAAAAAACTGTGTTCTTTTGTGACAGCAGGAGACAGTGTCTAAGTGTTGATCTGTGAGAGTGTCTGTGAGAGAGGGTGATCTTTCAGTGGAAGTGGAAAGGTAACTTTTCAGCTTCAATCACAGCCATTCAGCATGATGTTGTTATATAAGCGCTGGTTTTCTTCAAAAGTTATAATTTGGCCTTTACTTAAGATGAAGGATGAATCTACTTCGGAGATTTGGCCTCCATCGTCATCACACCATTCTTATTGCTGTGATTACCACCATCATGACAGGAATTTGAGAAAAGAGACAGGCAAGGGGGTGAAGTAAGAGTTATTAAGAAGAGAAAAACAAGAGCTTAAAGGTGGTGAAAGATGAAAAAATGTATAAGTTACAAGAAGAATATGAAAAATTACAGACAAGAAGGAAGGGGAAGGAGAAAGGGGAGTAGAAACTAGGATCAGATGGAGAAAGAGCAAAATCAAAGAGGAGGAAACAGGGACTTAAAGCCAAGGACAAGAAGAAGAAAACTAAGAATTAAAAAAAAAAAAAAATTATTTCTTTTTTTTTTTCTGGCACTGACAATATATAGAAAGTTTGTAAGTAGAACTAGGAAGAGAAAAGGCAAATGGGGGTGGGGGGTGGCAGGGGAGAGGAGAAAACGGGAGAGGATAAAGGGTAAATGGGGGACAGGAGCAACAAAAGACAATGATAAGTTAAAGAAGAGCACTGTTATCTTTCTTTATGTAGGTTAATTGACTGAGGAATTAAAGTAAAAAAGATATAATTCAATTTAATGCATGGATGTTAACAATGAAAGGGCCGGTAGCATAAGAAATGATTCTTAACATACATACACACACACACACACACACACACACACACACAGACCAAGCTAGTGTGTCATCCTAGTATATTTCTAATTATCAGTTAATTGTTATTCCCTATCATTAGGAGGGTGGTTTTTTAATTGTAATGTAGCCAAGCAGAAAGCCTACCTATACATGTGGGGGACAATTAGCCACCTCCATTAACCCCTGGTTAATTACAACCTCCATTGCTGCTTCCCACAGCACTTTCCCACTCCTTCTTACCCCTCATCTCTATCCCCGGGCCTTCATCCCCATTTTTTTCATTTCTGCCCTCATTTCATTCATCTAGGATGTCCAATCTGATTGTTTGATTCAGAAGTTAGCTGTTGTGAACTTATATTCTTTTTTTCCCCTTTTTTTTCCACTAAAAAGTTTGTTCATTTCAGTTATCTAGGTTACCGACACAATATTTCAGCCCTCTATGTCCTTCCTTTCTTTCTCTCATTATTATTTCTCCCTTCTATTCTTTCAAACTATTTTCCTCAAGGACTGAAAATGCTAAAAGGCAAGCAAAACTACTGAAATATATGGATCAAAATTAATGTTGACATATAAACCAGAAACACAAAATAAAATGTAAATCCCTGACTTGCCTTAATTACTTTTACTCAAAATCTCCTTATTCAGTTTCACTCTTTTTTTGTAATTATCCTATTCCATTTAACCCCTGAAGTTGCCCCATCAAATGTACAAAACCACAGCCCTACTTTACAGTTCAACTTTTCTAGCCAACCAAAGAGAAAACAGCGCTACATTTATTCACTTCTCATAGAGCAGACACACATATGATGCAGGTCTACTGACAAATGTTCAATTGATCTTGGATTTATTCACATAAGAGTTTGAGGTCTAGTTGTCACTGTTACCAAAAACTTCACTCCACAGCATAGCCTCTGCCTGCTCTCTCGCTTGCCCACATGTGTAATTTTCATTTCTCTCTTTCTCTGAGTTGGTATCCAATAATATACCTATTTAACAGTGTGCACACATACAAAAAATGTGTATACAGCAAAGTTAAATTATTTCTCTTGAAAACCCCCAGTACAAGAAGAAAAACAAGTTAATTTAATGCAGAGAGAAAATAAAATTACTACTGTTCCTAAACTCCAGTCAGATGAAAAAACAAGCTAAAGTAGTTAAAAAAGAACTACAGAATTGAGTTTGAGTTTTTCATAGTAGAGCCACTAGCAGAGCTATAATGCAGGTATCCACTCTCAAAGGACTGTCAAAGCTCCACCAGACTCCCTGTCTTTCCAGGAGTCTGACAGTAGCTGCTCAGGGCTGCTGGCAGAGAGTTTTGGCTAAATTTGAGGGTGCAGTTGCCCTTCAAGCTCAGTTTGGACAAGGTTACGTTACTGAAGATCAGTAAAAGCAAGTTACAGCAACCAAAAAGTAGGATTGCCTTAGGTGCAATGTGTCTGCCCAGGCAGAGCTCAGACAAACCCAGACAACAAATAGGTCAGTAACGGGTACTTCACTTCCATATTTTTTATCACCACAAGCATTATTTCCTATCTTATCTATTCATTCCACAGTAATTTGTATTTTGTTTTAAGCATTGTGAAATGAAAAATATTGGCTGATTTGTTTTAGCCTTCATCAATTTAATATTTTAGTCTTTAAGGGGATACAGATGTTTTTAGTATACCTTCTTATAGGCCTTCTCAAATCTTCCAGAAAAATTTGGTAATTTTAGAAGATAGACGATAATGTGTCAATAGGTGTACCTGTATCTAAAACACCATATTCTCTTTCTCAAACATATACAAACGCATACACACACCCCTAATACAGCAATTTCACAGGATGTATAGTGAACAATCAAATAGCAACTGACTAGACTGACCACAAAACAAAAACGAGAAATGTTAATATTTCTTAGGCCTCCTCCTTTATTTATTTAAAAAATACGGATAAATTAACTCAACTCTCCAAATTGATTAGTTTTCTAAAAAAAGAGGCCGGATATGCCTATTGTCCATTTATGGTGGAAATGATGATAAAATGTTATAATATGTTGTTATTTAAATGATAAAAAACACATGTCTGACAGACATGCAAAAACATAGAGAGAGACAGAGAGAGAGAGAGAAAGGGGGGGTAGAAAGAGAATGAGAAAGAGAAGGGATAACGATGCCCATTGTTCCATTAGGCAAGACAATAATGACTGATAAAATGAGGTTGCTAAAGAGGACACAATGGTCCTTAATTGACTCATTAGGGAGGGAGAGAATGAACTGCACTAATGAATGGAGTATGAGCGCTGCAGCTAAACTGCTTGGTAAGCAAAACAGAAAGGCATTTAGTTTATTAAATCTCGGCAAAGCAATATTTGTTCACAGAAAGGGATAGTATACGAGACAATAGGGACAAATACAAAACGATGAAAAGGAAAAGCTTAGGAAAGGGCCTTAGTATTTAAGTTTTATTTATCAGTGATGTATTATTATCTTTGATGGTAATTCTGGGTGAAATGGTGACTGTGTGCAGTGCATACCTCTAGGTGTTCCAGGATATATGGTGGGTTGGTCATACCCAGCCTCAGCATGGCCCCTTCAGGAATTTCCTCCACCAATCTCCAGAGCAATGTGGGCAGGTCTGTCCCTATGTCTCTACCATAAGCTCCTGTGTCCTCACTGGTCAACCAGATCTCACACACTCCCTCTGGAAAGTCAGGCACACAAAAACAAGGATGAAACATACTAAATTACTATTTATTTTGGTTTTGTTCCCAAAATTTCAGCTTTGTAGCAGATGATCTGTAGCATGCTCATGTCACTGCAGTTTTTCAAATCTTGTTTTTTAGTTAACATGACACTATTTTATACATGGTGTGCTTTTTAAAAGAAAGACTGCACAGTATATCATTTGACAATAGTATGCTGAAGTATGGCTCATCCAACTGGACTGAACAGATACTTTTGAAGTTTCCGGTAGCAATCAGCAAAATTGTCTGGGAGAAACTGGAAGAAGCACTAGAAAGTTGTTACAACAAAAGTATTTTAATTAGAGAACTACAGCAATCACATTATTTAATAACTGCAAAAAAAATCTAGCTCTGTCATTAAGTTTAAAAAAGGGCTTCCACATACAAAGGCTTGATATTACTAATAACTAGTAACTGTTGTTCACACTAAAATACACAATCCTTTTTTACTGTGACAATAGATAGAATCTCATATACACATGATATCAAATTAACTAAATGATTATATAAAATTGGTGATTTTTTAAATCCTTTATTTACTTGATTGAGGATATCCATTTGTACCACATGAATTAACAGTAATCATGTTCGTAAGTTAGGTTTTATCGTTAACGTGACTTATATCTTGTATAAAATTACATTTACACAATTTGTTTTTACAAGTACCTGCTTGTTTTTTTCTGATAAATTGATCTATATGGTTCTTACCACATTGCCCAGCCCAAGCAACAAAGTTCCCCCACCATCACAGCAGCTAAGTTATTTCATTACCTTTGCGAGTCTCTTATTGTTATTACCTAAATGCTCTAAGGTTTTGGCAGGACCCAGCTCATGACAGTCAGTGACAAGCATTAAAAGTACCCATCTTATAAACACGCTTTCCAGGAATGTGAAGGTCACATACAGCAAGAGGGGACAATCTACCAGCTTCATGCTAAATTAGAGCAATGCTCACCGCTAGAGCTTAATGATCTAACTGTCATTTGGCTGTAGGTCTGGAAATGGTTGAGTGTCTGCTTAAGCTATGTGTTGAGACATATCATATCAGGCAGGCACATAGAAATACATTTGCGATTGCAGGGGCACAAGCTCAAGTACACACGGACACACACAAACACGCAGAAAACCACACAACCATCATTATCATTAGCTGTGCAGAGACAGACAGAAAGATGCATGTGGTCATTCAGAGAGTAAAGATGGTATTTGGCTAATTGGACAGTTTGTGTGTGTGTGTGTTTGTAAGGGAGCAAGAGAGAGGGTAAAACTGTGTGTTTAAATGGCATGCATAGGCCAAATAGATTAAAGATGATGACAGTATAATTGTCCAGAGTGAAAGAGTTTCCAAAGCTCATCATCATTGAAATTAAGATGCACTAATGATTTCTAGAACCAGCCACTTCTAAAAACACCATCAAAAACATCCATCAATCACACGTGATCAGAGCTAAAGGCTAACACACACAACACAAGAATGCATTCAGGATACCATGTTCATTTGCTTCAGTACGCAATTAATCAAAAGCATATTCCACCATGGTCCAATACTCGGTAATAGCCTAGTTCATTAAATATTCTTTATCATGTATTAACTCATTCAATTTGTTTTACTCAGAAGGTAGGCTCTGTTTTAGCACAGACATAGATAAGAGCTACCCATCTACTGTTAGCCACTAAAGAGCTTCACTGGAGGACCTGGAGGTCAAGCTCTATGCAAAGACATGTTATCATCAGCTAACATAGATACATAATGGCAGAATGTCTCAGTGTAGCTAAATTAATACCATGGTTGATTTGCTGCAGTATTCAGCATAAACGGTGGGACATTTTTCATCTTTTTAGCCTAAGGGAAGGTGGTGACAGCAAATTCCCGAGGCAGCTAATGTCAGCTTGTTTGGGCTGAATTATACCAATCCCTCTGCCAAGGTCTAACCTTTGCCTGCATCATCTGCATCCCAGGAGTGAATGTATTCCTACATCCACTGCACCAGCAGCGTCACTTTCTACGCCACGGCTCTGTTCCAGAATAATATTGGCCAAGTGGTCTCTTAATACAGGGCCAGACCTGCATTACATTGGCCTAGGAGCTAAATTGGTTCCTTCCAAAACAACATTCCTGTGATTCCACACACATAATGCTGCCAAGCCAGTAAGCTTGGTTATTGTCTGCTATTAAATGCCTCTTGTGATTCCTGTGTTAATTATGTTTTGAACCGGGTGATGCTTTGGAAAAGTCTCAGGTGTTTACTCTCAAGGCCACAGCCACACAGATCTCCGGATAAACTCAATAACCTGCCCAGTAATTTGCCCCTTTGGCCTGCTTCTCTGTCTCTTTTGCATTAGGTGCACCAATGGTGTTATCGTTGGCCAAAGACACAGAGAAGGTGGCCATTTCATCAGGAAATGTTAGCTTGCTCTCCCTTCTCTATCTGCGCTCACACACACAACACAGCTGCTTCCTCCAGTTTCTGGTATGTGTGCAGTGGAGAGAGGGGTCGAGGCAGTGCAGGGCTGAAATGTGTCTGTGTATTAGGCATGTCAAGATTACTACAAAAAATTAATCACAACGGGACTATTTTGCAGAAGGAAAATTATAAATCTTTTTTACTTGGCCCGCAGAAGTGTCCTTGAGCAAGCCTTGAGTGTGTGCCAGTAAGAAATGCTGTTCTGTAGCTGACCCAGACTTCTGACCCTGATGTAAAAGGGAAACTACTAAAGAATTTCAACACATCAATATACTGTTGATATTCAAAATGTGTTATTACTGTTAACCGAAAAGTTGTATCTCTAGAAATAAAATCTGCAAGTTCCCACTCTGCTTCAACTTGTGTGTGTTCATATTACAAACCCTTCACCAAATCCCTTTTTTCCATCTCACCGTATGATGTAGGAGCAGTTATAAATGAGGGTGTGGAGCAGGACACTTTTCCTAAAAGCAATTAACATTCACTGAACTCTGACACAGCAGTGTAAACACAGTACAGGGAGGAGTGAACAAAACAGCTAATGGAAAGAAGATGGGACAGGAAGATATTAAAGATGAATAAAATAGAGCACGACCTGTGTTGTTTATGATTTGAGCTTTCAGGGGTGGGGATATAGTTAGGCTGAGACAGAGAATAGGAGGGCAACAGAGAGAGAGAGAGCACGCACAAGAGGAAACAGCTGTGTACATGTCTAAGCTGCATTTGTCTTTGTCCAAGAATAACACCATCAGCATGTCTGACAAACGTCATACACATATCAAACAATCATCACTCCAACCCTCTGCCAAAAACTTGTTTGCTGTGTGTGTGTGTGTGTGTGTCTGTCTGTCTGTCTGTCTGCCTATAATTTTTCTGTATGAGCTCTATAGCCTGAACTGAAGACTGAGTTTAAAGTGTGGTGGATCTGTTGGTCAACATTTGTATTTTCTAGCTGTATCCTTATAAAGACCTACACTCAGTCAAACAGAAAGATAAAATCAAACCTTCTGGAATATCAACTTGCAAGATATGTCTAACTTGAGAAACGCTATGATGATCTACAGTTTTATCAAAATAATTGAAATTGAAATTGAAATTTAGTTTTCAATCATTTAACATACTTCCACTAGCATATACTGCAGCAACCCTCTATGTCATTATACTGTTTACATATATAATTTCATATGGCCCTGTGTCGCCGCTCCTCCTCTGGATAAAAGGATGGGAAGAGTGGGAGGAGAGAAGAGATGAGGGCTTTGAAGTAGTTGCTTTGAAGAAGCATGACAGAACCAATTGATTCAGGTGATTGGGAGCTTTAGTAAAAGGCACTGTTGAAATGGTAAAAGGGTCTTAAATCATAAATGAGACACACAAGCAGCACAACATGACCACACATTTTTATGTCACGCTTTTTTCTATTAGTTGGTACATTCTGGCTCTGATTCTTTCTTACATACACATACATGAAAACAGTGGTATTATATATGGTATGGTATGGTACAGTATAGTACAGTAATTATTGTCAGATATTCATTTTATTTTCTAATCACTATTTTCTCCCAATAAGCCATTATAGTTACAAGTAATGTCAAAATAATTTACTTTCTCTGGGTGGAAATATTGTCACTTTAGTCAATTTCAATAGTCAATTATTTAGACAAAAAATACTGGGGAAAAACATGTCGGACATCAATGATGTTCAACAATGGGAAAAATACACTTTTTTGGAGATGAGGGGAAAAAAAAACTGGTATATAGCAAACATTTTTTGGTGCACATGATTTAATTATAACTTTTATAGGTTGTATTGTCAAAGATCAAGGTCACTGCCTTTTGAAAGGACAGTTGACCTATTATCTAAATTATGGATTTGGATCCTTGCTAACCCTAACAAATATGTATATAAACTCATATTTTCTCATTATTCACTGGCAGTCATCACTTTCAGCTGGCACATTACTTTATGATTCTCTATAATAAAATATTCCAGCTTCAGTGGCAACAGCAGCAATGTTCTTAGCCTAGCAGGCTCTGTATCAATGGCTATGATAAAAAAATGGGACAACTGAGAGACAAGTTTAATACTGTGCATTTTTACAACCAGCCACCATAACCTCTTTTATAAGCACATTTTTTCCATACTTGTGGCAATAATAAAGTGTAAACATGTTTTGATGTTTTTAGTCTCTCTGTTTAATGTTTTTGCAATTTGTTCATATCGCAATGACGATGTCAATACAATTTATTGGTCAGCCCTATTGTGTATAGCCAAAAATGCAGTATTAGTTATATGCAAGTGAAATGTTTAAATATGTTTAAAACTCTGAGATTTGTGCACGTGTGTGTCAAAGTCAGCACAGTATGTCGACTGTGTACACATGTTACAAGTTATTCTTTGCTATCCATAGCCTATACATATGGGTTCAGCATTCTTATCTTAATATCTTTAGCATGATATACATTTTGATTGGCTGCCACAGGCTATAATGTTT